AGAGTATAAGTAAGTAATTGTTTAACTAGAAAACATGAAATAAAAAACAAATATTTTTTATAATCTTATATATAAAGAAGTCTATGTTAGTCTGTTCATGTTAGAATAAAAAATCTTTAAGATTGATTAATCATAAAGTCATATAATCATGTTATAAAAGAATAAGAGTAAAGGCTTTAGAACGTGAGTTAATTTAAAGAATTTCAAGAGACATAAACAAACGCACATCAAACCAATACAAACTTTTCCAGAATAAGGTCCTTCGTAATATGATGGGCGCTCCTTGGTATGTGTGCCAATAGTGACATTCATAGGGATCTTGGTGTCCATCAAGTAAGTGAGAAAATATGGAACTGAGTAGAATTGTGAAATTAAAATTAAATCATTTGCTTTTTATGTTTTGTCATGGTTAAAAGTGTTTATTTCATTAAATTATCAAGTAATGAACCCTTGACGAATCATTCACTAATAGGCAATGTGGAAGAAATTATAACTTCACATGAAAATCTAATTCCAGCCTTAATTGGAAGTAGTTCACTGAATCTCGCTTGAAGGTTTATGAAGTAATTCACTGAATCACGCTGCAAGGTTTATATAAGTGAATAAAGAGGACCGGTTGTTATTCGTTCACAAATTGAACAAAATTTCGAACTTCTATTGTTAATTTAGCAGATTTTAGCAGAAAGTCAACTTTTTAAATAAATACGTTCACAATAGTTACACAATAAGTAGTAAACGTTAACAATACAGCAAAATAAGCGTTAGAAAGGCATCCTAATTTTGGTATTAATGTTGGTTAAAAATTTTATTACATATAAACATTAAATTATTAGAAATTGCCTAAAACCCGGAGAATCATGAAAGTATTTTTATAAAAGTTTGATATTTCGTACACAAATCTTTGCATAAATGCGTGCATAAGACTAAACAAATTTGGAACTTAATTAAATTTTAATATTTTTTCTATCTACCTCATTTCACACTAATTATAAATAGAAATGCATATAAAATTCACCAATTAAGAAACACATAAGGCAATTTATATGATGACAATTAGGAAGAAAAAGTAAAAATCACTTTTAATTTTTTACAAAAAATTTCCAAGGAAAAGAAAATTAATTTCTTTAAAAAAATTTTTAAATAATCTTTACATCAAAACTGACCACGTTATGAGCAACGTACGCGCAACGTATTGCACTTTTATTTTATTTGCCTTTCGTTTTTTTTTTAAATTAATATTTGCAAATGCTGTGAGCACTCATTTAACACCTTATGCTTTGAAAGTGTTAATGAAAATAGTTATACAGAAAACTGTATAAGGGAACACGAAAGTTAAATATAATGAAAAATGACAAAGTTCCGTTATATTTTTAGAAAATATTTCGATGCGAATAAAGAAAATTAAATTTATAAAAACATTCAAATAGAAATTAAACAATTTTATGAGGTAGGTTAATCACATCACTACCAGATCGTCATCGAACATGCGATTACAGGTTGCCCATCTAAGCCAGCCGATTCTTTTCAGATATCTGTGTAATATCCGCTAAAAAGTATCTCCTTCTTGTGCGTCTCCTAGCAACAGCACCAAAATACATTGAAGGGTAACCTCAGCCTAACCGAATACTATATCAATGATCCGCCAGGTGTCCCCTCCGTTTCCCAAATTCCTAAGGTAGTTTTTTTCAGTGGCTGAATCTATTATTAATGCTTTTTTCAGTAGGAACTATGTGTTACTCCTCTCCTTATCGCAGTGTCTCTTCATGTCTAAGATATCGAAACCCTGTATAATTTTATATATTAAGTAAGTTGAAGTCGGTAAAATTTCGTAAATTTCATATTCTATATTCTTACAAAGTACTAAAGGTTTTCAAATAGTTCTCCTTTCACCTCAAATTAAAAATAATGAGTGGAATTCCATGAATACTTTTCGAATGCTTGCATGGAATTGAGAAAAATCCTTTTTCTTACTATTTAATTAGATATGATATAAATCAGTAAGAACCTTATCACTAGGTCAATTGTAATAAATAATAGAACCAAAGATTACCGTGTTTTACGTCACAAATATAGTTCTCAAAAATATCGCTTCCAAATGTCAACTTTATAAAATTAATTTTAATATTATTTTAATGAGTTTTTTTTTCATTTTCTCACTCATATCAAATTTTAAAGTAGCATTGTGTTGTCAAACAAAATTTTTTTATTTTCTTTTCTAATTTTATTCCTAGACAATCACCATCAACAAGTCATTAATCCGTTCGTTTATTTATATAGTTATACTCGAAAATTTATTCATAAATCTCTAGAGTTTAATTATTAAATTTGATATGACATTTGGGAATTGGACATTTGATCGTCAATATAAAAAATTCTTTATTATAGTGAAATTTATCATAATTAATTAAAAATAAAACAAAAAATTTCATTCAATATTAATAAAAAAAAAAAACATAAACTTCTAAAGAGAATTCTAATGAGCACCTAAAACACACTCACACTTAAAAAATATTTTATTTTATCGTTCAGTAGTTATGACGTAATTAAATTTTTAGATATATCAAAAACATTAGTCAAAAAAAAAAAAAAAAATTCTAAAGTTCCAGTATAAGTAAGAGGCGATTTGATGATGTTATTTTGTATGTTACGCTCTATGAAAATTATTTTTAGACTAGACATTGAACTATAGTTTAGAATTTCCTGTTTCATATTTTGCAGATGGTGAAATCGCTATACTAATACACTCTTTTATAGTACGTAATGTTGATGCTTGTTAAATTGTTCTATATTTGTGAGTGAAGTTGATGACCAGACAAAATAATAATGTTGATAAAAAAAATAGATAAAAAGGAAAAAAATTCTAAGGCTTCTTCTACTAAGTGTCGCGAATAATTTTTGCTTTTTCTGTTTATCATTCAAAAATTTTATTTTTTCACTCATATACCATTGCTTTTGTATAGAGTTAGGAGTAAGAAGTATGTGGATGATGCCGCAGATATTTCAAAAGTTTAATTCAAATTTTAAAGTATTTTAATTAATTCTATATTTTCGTGTGGTTTTCTTCACCAAATTAACTTCCGCCTTATAAACGAAATTTCATAAAAAATTTCAGAATTTCTTAAAAAAAATTAAATTATTTTGATTTTATATGAATTTGTCTATTCATAAATTAAAAATTTCAAAGTTTTAAAAATCTAATATAGAAATATAATTAATTATATTTGCTGGATTGGGCAAAGACGTTGGTTCATGTAATAATTTTCGGTTTTTTATGATGATTTTAGTATTAAGATTCTTATGAAACTCAATTATTTTTGTATTTTTATAAAATTAGTTAGAGTAATTTTTACCAAGAATCAGTTTAAATTTCAGGGATAAAAATTTTGAAATTGTGAAAGTTTTTGAATATGGAAAATTCAGCGAAGCATTTGAGAACGTGTTCTCGCTTAATAACATTAAGAGTTCAATTTAAAATGAAGTTTCAGTTAATAGAAGGTTATTTACAATCAAACAATTTAATAAAACGTATAAAGTTATTAAAAGTAGATTCGATTTAAAGAGAAGTTCAATTACTTTTTCAAAATCCGAATGAATTTCAAGCATTCGCAAATTCGACGCATTCTAGCATTATTAATAAATTGTCACATATTTGCTCAGTCACTATAATTCTTAACTTTAAAATACGAACCTAAAAAATAGCAATTAAAATTGATTTATAATAAAATAACAATGAAAATTTTTAATTTATGAGTTTTTTATAAACAAATAAAAAAAAATTATTGCTTTTTTTTAGGTATAAGCCGAATTTCCGAAAATCAATTTTGAAAAATATTTAATTCTTATATCGTCCATTATTATGTTCTAAAAACTTGAGCTATAAAACTTGATTTTTGCTATAAAAAATATATAAAAATCAATACTTATTGAAATTTAAAGTTAAACCTAATGAATTAAACTGTTATAGAATTAATTTAGAACTTATTAAAAGACAAGCGTATTATAACGACGGAAATCAGATTTTTTTACAAGAAAAATTTATTGCATAACTGTAAAAGTAGTAAGAGTAGTATTTTCATGCTTTAAATCTATTTAGTTGGTTTGAAAATCTAGTTCTTGCAGTTAGAATTTCAGAATTTTATTCGATTTATGCGTTACATTTAATTTGTACAGAAAAACTTAATACTTTCTAGTTACAGCTTTGAGGAAAAATAACTACAATTATTAAAGTCGAATTTTGTCGTCGGAAGTTGACATTCCATAGAACTGTTTAACAATTGAAACCTAGTACTAGGAATAATTTTAATAAATTTTTGATTAATGAAATCAGGGGGTCGTATTTCGTCGGTAGAAAAATTTTAATATAATTTTATTATCTATCATATGGTATCCTTTTCTTAGCATATATATACAAATATTAGACTAGAATGGGAAGACAGAAATTCAACGAAGAGACTGAATCACTGAAAAACATAAAACACGTACCTATATAACGATTATACTATGGAACTGTACCGGTTATGGTAAAACTGCAAATCGGCAAATTAAATTTGCATAAATTTAACTATATGCAAATCATTAATTCCTATATGTAGTTAATGCTGTAGAACTCGATTCATTGACAACTGTATAGTAATTCAGAGAAAATAAATATTGCCTTTTCCCCAAGAAAGAGAATGAAAACGAGGAATCCTATACCCACATATTGTGTAGATGAGTTTAATCTTTAAGTTTTCGTTCGATTTATACGATTTAGTTTAAAAAGTAATTTATAATAATAACAAAGCGTCTCGATTTAATGAAATTAATTTGATGTAATCATAACAGCACTTAAGTAAGTATATAATATATTATACCCGATAACCCTTATACGTATATATATACATTCTCTTGAAACAATTTTTTTTTGGTTTAAACCCTTAAATAATAAGATATACTCGAATTATTTTATAATATAATTCTTAAATCTGTTTGATATTTAAATTTTAATAATAAAAACTTACTAGATAATATTTCATGTCCATGACAATCTAATTCTAAATGATGATTCATAACCAATGAAGGCTGTACTAATCCACTTTGATGAGTATGCATTGGTAATTGGTGTGCCAAATGGCCACCGGTCTCTGCCATTACCATATAAAATAATTTAAATAATATATTTAAAATTTAGTATATTTTTTTTTTTTTTTTGGTTTTTTTTTTTTATATATATATATATATATTTATATTATTTATTAAAAATTAATATGATATGCACATATGTACATATAAATATATGTATATAGACATTTATTTGTTTTATTAAACACCACAATTATTAAACATGGCTGAAATACACAAAATCAGTTTTTTTTGTTATTCTCTTTATTCTCTTTTTTTTTTTTTTGCATATATTATAATTTTCTTTTTGTCATATATGTATGTATGTATGTATTAATTTATTAATATAATATTGTAATATTATAATTTTTTTTTATTAAATTTTTTGTATATATATATATATACATTAATGTATATAATACAATGCATATATATATGTAGGTACTATGATATTGAAAAGAGACAGAAAAAGAGTGAGAGTGAGAAAAAACAAAAAGGTATTTTAATTGCACTTTTTTTTTTTTTTGACTTTTTCAAAGCTTAATTCCTTAATTTTATTATTAATTTTTTTTTTTTATTTTTTGATTTTATTCAAAAAATATAATTTTGGTATTATTTAAAACTTCATTTTAATTTTTCTATTATTTTTTTTTCTTATAATATTTTCAATACATCTATATACATTGAAATTAATTTATATTTGATTTTTTGTGTGTGTTTCAATTAATTATGAAAATAAAGAATAAACAAACCATTCAAATTTTAAATTAAAATTAAAGATCCTTTTTTTTTTGGATATTGTTGAGGTTTTTTTTTCAGATTTTTTTTTTCTACTTCGTCTTGTTTTTTTTTTTTTTGCTTTATTCCGTAATAAATATTTTGTAATTTATTTAATAAATTTTATTTATATTAATTTGATTTAATTAATTTTTTTGTTATAATATTACAGCGTCTACGTATTTATATATGTACAAAGGTAAAAAACAAAAAAAAAACCAACAATTTATTGTATATAAAAAATAATAATAATAAAAAGAAATCAACACGAATTTCTTATTTTTTTTTTTTTTTCTTAAATTAAATCGCAATCATAAAGTGTTCATCATCGAAACACTACAAGGTATGACGAATAACTAAACCAAACAGTTCTGAAATATAAAAAAAAAACTCAAAACACATAAAATTATTCTCTTTCTTATTTTTTTTTTTTTTTCACTTAACCTACTGCAATATTGTGAATGTATGCGTTTATATAAATAATTTATTTTGAATATTACACGAAAATTAGATTAACACAAACACAATTAAATTGTATAACAGTATTTTTTTTAAAGAAAATATTGTACATTTATGATAGTATTAGTGCGTATTACTCTCTTTATTCTTTTAATACAACAATAATAATGCATATAAAAAAATTTATTTAAAAATATTATTAAATTCTAATAAAACATTTTACGTTTATAACGTTAACACAATAAAATACTTGTATATTGTCTCTATTATTAAAAAAATAAAAATAAAATTTAAAATAAAATGTTTTATGTCGGCTAGACTTTTAAAGCCACGAAAAGAAAAACTGGTTCTCTTCTCTTCTCTTCTTTTTTTATTTTTTGTTTATCTTACTCACACCACCTTATTTATTTTTTTTGTAAGTGAAATATTATCTATAGCGACACTGTATATAATAGCAAATAGAATATGTATATATATAAATTTAAGATTGTAGTTGTATATATGTGATAGTAGTTGTTAAAAGTCAGAATGGAGTCGTTTACACAATATAAATACAATTTTTGTTTTTGTTTTTCTGTTTATTTTCTTTTTTTATTGTATATAAACTATATAATGGCGTTACTGAAAGCCAATAGAATTTTTATAATACGCTTGCGCCCACTTTTTGTTTAAAATGAAAAAACATTTTTTATTGGCTAATGTAAATGTAGCTTGAAATTGTTTTGAAAAAAAAAACAAGAAAAGAAAACAAAATTTAAGCAAAAAAAAAAAATCACAAATTTTTGTTCTATAAAAAAAAAAATCAATTGTTCTTTGAAAGACGCTCACTGTTTATTTACATATGATATCAATACTTTGATATAGATGTATGGGCTATGAATATATGTGTATATACTTGTATATATTATATTGATTTATGCTCATGCTTTTATATAGGTATGTACATACATATTTTTAAAATTATAATCAAAAGAAAATTTTTTGAATGGTACAGGATTTTAGAGAACTTTTTATACATTATGTATGTGCGTATGTAGTTATGTAACTAAGAATAATAAAATATCAAAAGTCGAAAATTAATAAAAGAATATTTGTATGCATCTATGTATATACATTTACATATTATATCATGAATATTTACAGTGCTTAACAAAAGTTTTAATACTTTAAATTTAAAAATTGTATTTAGTAAAATATGCATACACACATACATGTATGAGAAAATGTAAAATATCAAAAGTATAGTAGATCCTATGCATGTCAAATATAATATGAAGTTGGTATTTTTATGCTTAAATCTGTAATGTTTCGTTATCATAATAACGCTATACTAACATAGTATAAAGAAGTGTTCCCCTTTCAATTTCTAAAATTGAAAATCGGTTTTTGTTCACAGTTTGTATTCCAATTGAGATATTTTCATGTCACTGAACACATTTCCTGAATTCAAATTTGTGTTAGTGCTGTTGATACACAATGCATGAGTTGTAATTACTTAATTATTAATTTTCTTTTTCTGCTTCACTTCCTTTGGGAGCATTGAGCTTCTTCAAAAAAAACTCTCTATCGAACTCTATTTTCCATTCTACCAATGTTTTTCCATAGTTTTTGCTTATTTATTGCTCGCCGTAAAACATGGTCTTCTGACATACTTTTTGTGCTGCGCGTTTCCTTCAATCGCCTGTTGCACTATAGCACTGGGTGTCCTTCGAAGTATACGTTAAATTCACTTCCATTTTTTCTTTTGTACATGGATTCTATTAGTTCCTGACTCGTATTGCACTACTTAAAAAGGCTTCTTCTTGTTCCTGGATCGTAATGCACTACGTTTTAACGCAGCTATTAAATATTCTTAAACATTGTTGATTTGCCTAAACTAAACTCTAAGGATCTTATAATTCTATTTTTGATGTTCTCATCTTCTCCCTCACTATTACTGATTATACTACTAAAGTAATTGAAGTGAGTGACATTTTCTATTGACAAACAACTCATCTACGTTATTTGCATTGATGCGCAAAGACTTTATTTTCGCCTAATTGAGACTCAATCTTTCTGCCTGATCGCCAATTTTGAACGGTTTTGCATATAATTTCCAAATCAGATTTTTTTTTTGATAATGGAGTACTAAAATTTATGATATGCACTGTTTAAATATCAGTATATATATATAATTATATATAAGAATAAATATAATATATATATATATATGTATATGTATACAATAATTGTGCATATATGGATTCATGGGTGCTTTTATTTACATATATATAATATATATATATTAAACACATCTCTTTAAATAAACAAAATTATTATGTATTTACATAAACAATATTGTTTTTATGCACATATATGTATAAAATTTTAATTTATATAATAACATTATGGTATATATATATGTATATTAAAAATCATATATACCTATATAGGTAAATAATATTAATATTATGGTTATGTCCAAATATATGACCATATAAAATGTACATAAATGTAAAAGTATACAGTGTATATATATATATATATGAGCAAATACTTGTATCTATGCTATATACGTGGTACATGCTATATATATACCCACATATATATGTATAATTTATATAGGTATACACATTATTTGTGTATATAACATTTGGTTGGTTGTTGCTTTCTAATTTTTTTTTAATTTGTGTTTCTTTTTTTTGTTGTTGTTTGTTGTGTTGTTCTTTAATAAAAGATTTTTTTTTTCTTCTTTTTGTTTAGTTCTTTATTTTCTTTTTTTATTAATCGGTTAAAGTTTTTATTATTATTATTTTTTTTTCTGCTGTTTTATAAAATTTAATATTTAATAAAAAGGAAAAAACAAGAAATTTTGATATTTTTGTTATGTTGTGTAAAAAATTATTAAATAAATATTAAAAATTTATCATGTTTTTCTTGTACAATTATACATACATATATATATATATTCATAATATATATATTATTATGTACATATATGTACATACATTTAAAGTAAATATAAATTTATATATTATAAATATTTATTATTAGAATTTTTTATTCGTCCTTCAGATATCAACACCTGTAAATAAAGGATATTAACTGTATACACTATGTATATTATATAATATAATAAATAATATATAATAACCTATATATACGTATATATAGGTATATATCTAAGTATGTAGCTATAAAAAATATGTATACATGTTTTCATAAAAAAATATTTTTAAATTTTAATGAGGAATTTAAAGTAAAAATTAAATGAAATTGATAATTTTTTTTTATACGTAATGAATACATAAACACATGCATATCTATAATAATATATATATATATATATATATATATTTGATTATAATTATTTGAAGATTCATTTAGTTGTTTTTTTCCCATAAAAATTAAATTTTAAAAATTTCTTTTAATTTCTCTGCAAAGAAAATTTTCATATATAAGAAAAATGAAGTTTACTTTAATATACGCAAATATTTGTACACATAATGTATATGTTGATATATATACTTATATAATATTAAAAGGAAAAGTTTTAAATAATTTTAATTAAAGTTTCTTTTTAACTTAATATTGTTTATATGAATGTATGTATACAAAAAAAAAATAAAGTTTAAGGAAAAACAAGAAGAATTTCTTGTTTTTGTTCTTCCTTTCAAAGATTTTATTTTATATAATTTGTTGACATAATGTTATACGCGATTTATTTGTTAATGGGACCATACCTTAACATTTCAGAGTAATATGAAAATTTTCTAAATAATTTTTAGTAAACGATTTTATTTGAGTATTTGTATGTCTTTTGTTAATTTTTTTTTTAGCCTAAGGCTCTCTATAACCTTAAATTTTAAAATTTTGATGTTTGGACAGGTGAAATATATTTATAAAAGTTCATACAATCTTTAAAATTTAAGAATTTTTTATAAAATCAACATTGTAACCTGTTGAAGATTATTTAAGCCTAATCTATTATTAACACGTTGAGTTGCACAATCCATTGTATGGTTAGTGAATA